GAGGAAGAGAGAGAGAGGGAAACATCGATGTGAAAGGGACACATCGAGTGGCTGCCACCCGCACGACCAACCAGGGCCGGGGACAAACTGCAACCGAGGTACATGCCCTTAGCGGGAACTGAACCCGGGTCTCTCCGGACCGCAGGCCGATGCTCTAACCGCTGAGCCAAACCGGCCAGGGCAAAACTTTTATTTTGGTACTAGAGGCTTTGTTGTGAAAATCTGAGAGTAGGAATAGGTGGAAGAAGCCTCTTAACAATATCCAAGTGTCCTCAGAATTGAAGCAGGATGCCAGCAAATAAAGTCTTAATTCTTTGGTTCTATATGTACTCTGTCAAATAATAACAGTCTCCTCAGGATTTTTTTTTCCCCATTCTTACAGATTTTTAAAACACATTTGTTGGCATACAGGCTTGGCTTCCTGTGAAATTTTTCCACTCTGGAAGAAAAACCCTGGGATAGTGGCCATAAGGGTCATTATACTTTCCTTTCCTCTCCTTTGCTAATCAACTTCAGGTAACAAGTCTTTTGTCATGATAATATGTAAAGTATGTGGTAATAATCCTTGATGAATGAATTTGAAAGGACTTTGTGTAGTTTATGCCTGAATTTTAGTGGTCCCCAATCCGATCCTCTAAATTGTTGTTAGAATATCATATAGGATGGTCCAGTACTTCAGTTTCACTTCTACAATAGTGGTAGGAAAAAAATAGTGGTAAGAGGAGGCTCTGGAGTTCAAGAGATCCAGGTTAGAACCTAAACTCTGTCCCTTCTGATCTGTGTGACCATCGTCAAGTCCCTTTCCTCTCAAAGCTTCATTTCCTCATTGTGATAGTGGGAATAACACCACCTATCTCATAGAACTGTGAGGATTAAATACATTCTTACATGTGAAGAACCTGACTTAGAAATATTTCTTCTAATTATTAGCTCATAATTCTTTAAATAGGGATTGCCAGTGGGTTCATTCAAAGTGATGCAGTAAAAGCCTCTACAGCTCTGTTTCCTCTTACTCCACTATGTGATGAGCTTTGGGAAAATCCTCAGAGGCTATAGTCCTCAGAGCTTGCTTCTGTTCCACATCTTAACATCCTCCCTTCCCACTAGTAGGGCTGAGGCCAATGCTGCAGAACCTTGGACAGTTCTATTCCTTGGTCACTGCTGGCTGCCTGAGGAAGCAAAAGGGACTTGGGGGGGGGGGGGGATTTTCTCAGAAAGGCTGTGTTAGTGTAGGGGTTTAGGAATCACAAGGACCTTAGTCTCTCAGCATGCATGCCACTTGCATTCTTCAATATGACCAGCCCTCCTCAAATATTCTGAGGAACCTCTCCTCAGAAACTCGTTAAGTTTATCCATAGGATTTACTGAATCTTCAGGACCTTTCCTTTTCTCTTATAAACTCCAAGGATTTTTTTTTTTTTCTTTGAGCCCAAGGAGAACAGAAACACCACCCACATATTCCTGTATCTGCTGATATTTAATTTGTTTGGCTTTGGTACAAGGATTAAACATTCTTGAATAACTTCAAGTGACAGTAATAATGTGTGAGCATGAAAAAAGGTTTTACAAGATAAAGAGATTCAGGTCTGAATTAAAAGAAACATAAAATAATGTTATTGTCTGTAAGTGACGTTGAGCGTCATTCTCTAATCAGAATAAGTAGGTGGTTCAATTTATGAAATAATTTAGCTTTTCACTCTCCAATGCAGAACACAACACACAGTCACCTTCTGAACAGGCAAGGAAGATATTAAGTCCTATTTGTACTTTATGATACTGAGTCACATAGTTCAATGAAAATCACATGGATGCCAAAGTAAGAACTATGCCAGGTGTTTAAATACCTCCTTTTCTTTGAGGAATTTGAAAGATTTTGTGGCTGCATAAAATCCCTTTACAGCAACTCCAGGAGAAGAGACACTGTCACCAGGTGGGCATTTAAGTCTGAGTTCATCTCATCCATCTCCTCCACTCCCATGCATAGGCTTGGAAGAGCCAGTGTTTGCCAGCTCCTTATAGCCTCCTGATACCAGTATTTTCTGGACCACATTGCCAACTAGGAGAAGAACACTTATGTTTGAAAAATATGTTATTGACTAATAACAGGAAGAGAAGAGGATAAAAGTGAAATAGGAAAAAAAGGAGAAAGAAAGCGTAGAGTGAAAGGAGAAACAGGAAAGATGCTTAGATCTCCCTGATTTGATAAACATTTTCTTCATAAGTAGATTTGATGCCCACCTCCAACTGAATGGATATTTGAACAAAGATCTTTATTTAGGCCCTCTTTAAATATTTCCCTATGGATGAAGACAGTGGCAGTTCCACTGCTTGAATTAGCTTGAAGGAACTGCAGGCAAGAACATCAACGTGGGACTACAAAGGCAGACAGGGAGTCCCCAAATAGAAGGGTTTGTAGTTTTCATCGAACAGTGCTTACACCCACCCTGAGCCTCCACACCATGGTGGGTGTTAGTTGCCAAATTTCATCTTGGTTTAACTTCGTACCAGCAGAGGTCGCTGTGGATACTTGAGAATGGACCTGGCAGGGCTGGGTGGTGGCTCCACTGTCTCGCAGTGGTTCTTCTCGTGGTTCCACTAGGAAGAGGGTCTCAGGTAGGGATTATATCAAAGCCACATAGCACCTTTGCCATAAAAGTACTATGAAATTGAGGTCACTTTCTGGGAGTGGGCAGGTCTGGGATGGCTGTTCTCATCTTCTAGGGATGTCTACCCACAGTGGTATCTCTGTGTCATGCTTGTGCCCTCTCTGTGAGTGTACCTGGTATTACTGAGAGGCCACCTGACCAGCAACACCAGCCCCACAGTCCTTCCAGACATGGAGACCAAAGTGACAAAAATTGCCTTCCCACACAATCGTGCACCCACATTCATAAGGGACTCTGTTGATGCCCCACCCCCACCCCAAGCCCCACTTGGCAGCCTGTGGTGGTGCGAGGTTCAGAATTCTGGTCCTCAGCCTGAATATTCTGAGGGATGGAAAGGACAGGGCTCTGGTGAGGATGTTAGGTTTAGACCCGAGACCCCAGAGGGCTGAAAAGAGCTCCACATACTTGTGAGGTCCACTTTCTGGGTCACACCCAGGCATGCAGGCTAGTCCCAAGGTGGCCTGAAGCTACCTCCACCCCGAGGACACCCACTTGGATCCTAGTTCATTACTGTGGCTTGAGAGTGTAAGGAGAGACTATGTTACACTCTTCCCCACCCCCAACATCCAAGGCCATCAGTAAGTGGTTCCTCTTCTCACACACTCAGCCAGATGCCCAAGCTCACCACGACACACACATGAACACTAGAGCACTCACGTGTACATTCACCCACTTATACACATTCACACACACATTGACCCATGCGAACACTATGACCCTCGCAAACACACGGTGACATACACAACACACTCAAACCCAGGAAATAATTTGACTTATCATGGCTGATAGCGCCTGTGGGGGTGGGGGTGGTCCAGTCAGGGTGTCCCTCCAGACCCTGGCCCACTGGGGACTACTGAACCGTGGGCCCTTCCCCGCAAGGTGGAGTCCCCCAACTGTCCACATCCTTGTGGTCACAGGTCTTGAACGCCCCCCAGAAGGGATCCTGGTTACCACTGTACACATGGCATCTGGGTGCCAGGCTGGCAGCGGGTGTGTTTGGGGAAGGTGGGGGTGCGGGGAAGAGTGCGGGGCAAAGTGCCCTGCCCGGGCTCAGCCGCCTCCTCTCTTGGGATTTTCCATCTCTGCTGGCGCAGGCCCGCGAGGAGCGAGCTCGCTTTGTCTCCCAGCCCGGTATCTGGCATGTTTCCGAGGAAGCTCCCAGCGCCGCGCCCGAAGCCCCTCCTCTCCTGGGCGCGCCCCCCGCTCAGCCCTTGGCGCAGGCCCGCCAGTGCGGCCACCGCCGCTTTGTCCTCCTGCATATGCCAGGGCGGAGGGCGGAGGGCGAAAGCCCGCTCCTGGGGCGTCCGCCTTGTGCCGGGATGTAGGTCTCGGCAGCCCGATTTGGGGAGCTGAGTGGAGTAACCCCAAGGTTCTGCGGCTGTGGGGGTTGTCCGCTCCGAGCTCCAGGGGCCACCCTGTCCCGCTCCACACACCCGGGTCTGGCTCTCCTCTGCTGAGCAGGAGTTTGGGGCCCCGGGGCGGGGCGGGGCAGATCAGCCAGGGTCCTTTGGACTTATTGTCCCTGGCCTGGACCCAGGTAGAGATGGCCTAGGAGACAAGACTTGGGAGGGGAGAGGTCGGGAGGTTTCCCTCAATCCCTCTTACTTTCCCCACTGTACACCTCACCCCCAGGCCACTCCGACCTTAGGTGCGGAGCTCGAGCGCGGAGGACCCCGAGAATCCGTTCCTGCTTTCCTGTCTCCGCGACTCCAAGCAAGGTGGGGAGAGGTCTCCGGCCTTTGCCTCTTACACCAAATCCCCTCTGCCCCAATAACCTAGGCGGGTCCAAGTGAGAGGGGGGAGTCCCCTGTCTCACAAAATCTTAGGCTTCGGAAGAAGGGTGGGCACGGGAAAGGGTCATCCTGATATCCCAAAGAGCCCTTCCATAATAACCCCAGGAGGGTCTGAGCAGAAGGAGGAGTCCTGGGGTCACATCCAGACCCCCTTTGTAACCACACGCAGCCGAGGTGCTGTGGGGAAGGGTCCCCTGCCTCTGAACCTTTCATCCCTCCCATCCTCAATAATCCAAGCAGCGCGACTTCAGACACCGGGGAGGGAGGCTCCAAGGGCTCAACGCCCTCTCAGGAGACGGGGCGGGGGAGTGGTTCCTCAGCTTTGTCCCTCACACGCAAGAGCTCCCTCCACCATAAAACAAAAACTGGCCCGAGCTGCTCCGACCTCAGGTGCCTGGCTACAAGGGAGGCCCGCGAGGGGCCACAGTCAGCCGCTGTGTGGGACAGATGGTCTTGAGGGAGCTGAGGACAGGTCCCATCAACTCCCCAGGCCTCCTCATTCCCTCCCCAATAAAACAAAAGCGAATTCAGCAGCACCAACCTCAGAGAGACGGGAGAGCGGTCAACTCTGGACAGTGCACCCAGCTCCTCAGGGCTCCTCACGGCCTTGGCTTCCCAATGGTAGTTCTCACGCGGCGGCGGCGACGGCAGGAGCTCCCGCGGATCCCGCGTCTGGAGCCTCCCTCGGACTCAGCACCTGGAGCGACGAACAGCTCCGCGCCTCATTCCAATGACCCCGCCTTCTGTGAACCGCCATAGCCAATGGCGACCCGGGTCCCGCCTAGGAGGCCGCCTATTGGGGGGCGCCTTCCCCACACCCTTCGGCTCCGCGGGAGGGTTTCTTGGTCTCTCTTGTCAAGACCACATCCCCCTCCCCCAAGACAGCTGGCGTTTTCGCGCAGCTTTCTGGAACTCGTAGTCCTTTAAGGACGTGGCGTGAGCTCGTGCAGCGGGAAGGTAACCAGAGACAGACTGCATTTTCCAGGGTGCATGGAAGAAACGAAAGCGCTGAGGAGGGCGGGAGGACTGTTTCCATAGCAAAGGCGGCTGGTTGCAGATGGCTGACGAGAAATGGGAACCCTCCAAGGATTGTGCGTGACTTCGGGCAGCCTCTTAGGAAGCCGTTTGGATTTTTTTTCTTCTCCTTGGTCCCCACCTCGGGATGGTGGGCCTCAGTTTTCCTACGTGAAATGAGGGCGTGGAGCCGTCCCTCCCACCCCCCAAACCGAGGGCCAGCTGCTTTGGTTTGTCCAACAAAGGAGAGAGGACGGAGAACTGTCCATCACATTCTGAATTTCTCTCTTTACCTTTGTCTCTATCTTGTCATTGAAGAGTGCATTATTTTTTATTATAACGTTTGGGCCGTGAAAGCCTTCCCATCCCGTTTTCCCCCGGGTTCTGGCCTCCTTCATGCCACCCTCGGATACCGCAGCGTCTCCCTCAGCGTAGCCAGAGGGCGCTTCTCCTGCTCAAAACTCTTCACAGGCTTCCCATTGCCTCAGGAATTAAGCCCACACTCCACAACCTCGGTTGAAAAACCCTTCAAGATCTGGACTCCACTTTCTTCTTCTTCTTCTTCTTTTTTAATCCTCACCCAAGGATATTTTTACAGTTATCTTCAGACAGAGTGGGAGGGAGAGAGAGAAACATCGCTGTGAGAGACACATAGACTGGTTGCCACCCGCACAACCCCAACGGGGGCCAGGGACAAAAGGCAACTGAGGTTCCTGCTCTTGGCTGGAATGGAACCCGGGTCTCTCTGGTCCGCAGGCCGACGCTCTAACCGCTGAGCCAAACCGGCCAGGGCCACTTTCTTCTTTTTAAAAACATTTGGCATGGGTTATTCCCAGGCGGTCTCCCATCTAAGAAGTAACCAGGTCCCAGCCTGCTTCTGGGAGATGGGGCCTTACACACCGATGGTGGCCAGGACTCCACCTTACTGCAACACTCTAAACTTCTTTGGAAGCTGAGAAGCCTTAACAACCCGTTTTCTCTCACTTGCGTAGGTCCCTGCACCCGGCATTTAGCTAACTCCTTATACTCTTCAAGCCCCAGCCCAGACGCTGCCTCGGGCATGAAGCCTTTCTAGGTGCCCGGCTTCGTGTTAGGTACCCGACATTATGTTTGAGCAGCAGCACCTTGTTCTTCCTGTGTTCTGCTTGTGTGCTTATGTATCTATCTTCCACATGAGATTTTAAGATCCACAGACCAGGGGCCATGTCTATATTATCCACACTTACAGTACAGTGCCTGTAGTGTCTGACACATAATAGGCACTCAATAGATATTTTTTGAATTGAAAACGAATTGAACTTTAACTGAATTTCACTCACACCTCCATAATCTTGATTTCCTACGGTTGAGCGTTTCCCAGTGCTGGAAGTGTTCAACTAGAGAGATGCCACCTCTGTTTGAAGAAATGTTTATGTCATTCGTATAGTGGATTAGAACTTTACCTGAATGCTTTAAGGCCCTTCCAATCCTTTGATGCTAGAGATTGATAGATTCATGCCTATTATTCCTTGGAAGTCCTATGAATTCTCTCCTAAATATCATCAGTTCTTCTTGTTCCTCCTCTATTTCTAGTTGATAGCCCTTCTTTCTGTACCTAAATGCCCTACCCCCTGTTCCCTTTCTGGGAAAGATGTTCTGGCCCTGAAGTAAAGACGGACTGAGATTCCTGCCCATCTTTTAACCCTCTGTTCAGCTTCATAGGGTCCTGGTGGTGATGCCCTACCTTGCTAGATAGCATCTTTTCTGAATCTTTTCCCACTCAGGGCCCTGGTGTTGGCTAAATGGTCCAATTCCACACATGCTTCATCCAGACATTTTGGGTATATTTCAGCTAAAGCATTCTTGAGAGAATGCTTTAATATATGGGAATAATTAACTCGTGTCCAAAGAAGTAACCATGGGAGAATATTACCCTGAAGTGATTCAAAGCAAAAAGACAGAGCCTGAACAAGAGCAACCCTGTCATCCTTGAGTTGATGACATCCAGGAAAGGAAGGCTAGGATGAGGGGGAGAGTAAAATGGGTTGCATTTAGGGAAGAATTAATGAATTCTAAGGGGCATGGCAGAGGGACTTTGATCCTGGCTCAACCATGAGGGAAAGCTGCTGGAACTGGATGAATAGATGAGAACTTATTACTGAAGATAGAAAGCTGTAAGGTGGCAGGGGGAAATGGGATTTGTGCTGAAGCAAGAGTGCCTCATTCTGTGGATGTGGTGAGAGCAGAGGATGTTGGAAAAGTGGGTAAGGGGAGGACTATGCCACAGCGCAGGCAGCATCAGAGCATTAGCACAGTATCAGCAGAGGGCTGCGTGCCACCGCTGAAACTCTAGAGGTCAGCTTAGCCTTTCAGGATAGTGCTAGTTTTCAGAAATGTGTTACAAATAGGAAAAAAGTTGGGTTCCACGAGTCTCCTTAAAATAGCATCTGCTTAGCCAACTAGAGTCAGGAAACCTGGGTTCTAATTCTAACTTTATCTCTGATTTGATATGTGATCCTGGGCTGGACTGATTTCTTCAGTTGTAAAATGCTATTAATTGGTTAAGAAGCAGCTAATAAGGTGGAGGTGGGGGAATTCAAATCCATTTACTAGCTGTGTGGCCTTGAACAAACAGCTTTCTCGAATCTGCAGTTTGTTTATTTGAAAATGTGGTAATGGATACAAGAGATGCCTTATGTAAAACACCTCATACATATCAAGCACTTAACAAACATTAGTCTGGTTCCACATTTTTCATCTTGCATTATCAGAAATTGGTTCTACTGTGATAAACAGGCAGGAGGTAATGTCCTAGGTAATCTGTGTTCAAACTGTCATCTTCTTGTTAGTTGTATAATTTTGGTCAGCTAAATGCTCATATGTCATCTTTTAGGGGTGCTTTAGAGCAGAGAACCCTAAGATAATGGAATTATAGATGTTTAGAAGCTAGAATTGCAAACTTTGTTAAGGGGGAAAAGGTCTCAGTAAAGTTCCATGGGTCTTCTAATTAAGTGACAAGGGGATTAACCAGAATGCTGAATCTCAGACATGGGGTTGAAATGATTAACCAGGGCTGGATTTCAAAAAGCCTCATATACCAGGCTGAGGAATATAATTTTATTCTAAAGATAATGAATGGTTTAAAGGAAATGTGCATTTTTAAAAGGTCTAGGGCCTCTGTGGAAAAGGCCAGAAGATAAGGCTGGGATGTAGGCCAGAAGTGATCCAGCATCTTTGCTATGAAGATGTAAAAGAGGGGGTGGATCTGAGATGTATTAAGGAGGTAAATATTCAGAGGACTTTGTTGAAGGCATGGAGGAGTGGTGAGTCAAGGATGATGCCCAGATGTCTGCCTTAAGAAACTAAGTGGGCCCTGACAGGTTTGGCTCAGCGGTTGGAGCGTCCGCCTGCGGTCCGGAGAGACCGGGTTCGGTTCCCGCTAAGGGCATGTACCTCGGCTTGGTTGCAGTTTGTCCCCGGCCCTGGTTGGTCGTGCGGGTGGCAGCCACTCGATGTGTCCCCTTCACATCGATGTTTCTCTCTCTCTCTCTCTCTCTCTCTCTCTCTCTCTCTCTCTCTCTTCCTCTCTCTCCCTCCCACTCTATCTGTACAAAAAATGGAAAAATGTCCTCGGGTGAGGATAAAAAAAAAAAGAAAAAAAAAGAAACTAAGTGGGAGGATAAAAAAAAAAAGAAAAAAAAAAAGAAACTAAGTGGGTGGATGGTGGCGTTTTTCTCTGAATGTGGAATAGTAAAGGAGCAGGCTTAGGCAGGAAGAGGAGGAGGTGAGTTTGAGGTGAATGGTAGACATCCAGGTGAGATGTCTAGTAAGTGATTTGGAGCTTATCTTGGGAGAATGCCTTAATATATGGGAATAATTCATTCATGGTCAAAGAAGTAACTCAGGGAACTGGTACCCTGAACCTAATTCAAACCAAAAGCAGAGCCTGAGAGCCTGTCATCCTTGAGAGATCTGAGCTGAAGAAACTCTTAAGCTATCACATTATCAATATATACGTCATAACTGAAGCCATGGGGATGGATGAATTCCTTCAATAGAGGGAGTCAAAGAGAAGACCAGCCCTGGCCGGTTTGGCTCAGCAGTTAGAGCTTCAGCCTGCAGTCCAGAGAGACCCGGGTTTGGTTTCCTCTAAGGGCACGTACCTCGGTTGCAGTTTGTCCCCGGCCTTGGTTGGGTCGTGCGGGTGGCGACCACTCGATGTATCACTTTTACGTTGGTGTTTTTCTCTCTCTCTCCCTCCCACTCTATCTGAATGAAAAATGTCCTCAGGTGAGGATAAAAAAATAAATTAAAAAAAAAAAGAGAGAGAGAGAGAGAAGACCAAACTCCCTTGGGAAATGCCAACATTATGGGACAGGTAGAAGAAGAGGAGCTTAGAAAGAAAAATGAGAATAGTCAGAACAATAGGAGGAAAACCAAAGACTAGTATGCCACAGAAGCCAAATGGAAGAAGTGAGGCGACATGGTACAGAATGGTCAAGTTAGCCAAGGTTTGAACAAGTGGATACCCTATTTAGCAACAAAAAGGTCACTGGCAACCTTGCAAGTAGGTTCAGTGGAGTAGCAGGGACAGAAGCCTGAGTGCATGGTAAATGAATGTAGATTACTCTTGGAAGTTGTTTTGAAGGAGAGGAGGGAGAAA